TTCCGATGTTTTTTTGGACAGAGAATCGACATGCGGCAAGGGAAGGATGGACTTTAAAGAAGCGACGAAACAGCTGCGAGCCAACCTCGAAGGAGCGATTCGACGTTGGGATAAAGCGGTTAGCCGGGCTATACCGCACCGTCCCTCCTTCCCGCAATCCCGCCGCCGAAACCGTGGGAGATGGGTATCTCTGAAAATAGGATTGGTGCGGCACGCATTGTGCCGAGGACAGTGTCTCTTTCTCCGCCTCCGTGTCTTTCCTGGCCTCTCCTAGTCTCTCCTTGTATTTATAGCCTTCGCCTTTTCCATCCGTTCTTCGCGCGCCTTCCCCTAACGCTGAACGCTCCCGCGCTCTTAATTCGACCGCTCCGTAGAATACAGCTTTTCTCCAAGCTGAGGAGCAGAGAGGAAGGTAATCCGGCGAGTATGCGAGACGGGCGAATGCATCGGACCTGGCGTGTGTGCAGCGAGGAGAACGCCAGGTGCGTCCTGATTTATCACAACCGCTGGAAGTTGACTGGAGGGCGACCGGGAGTCGGGAGGACACACACACACACGGGGCCGCCGCCACCACCATTGCTGAGGCTGGTGCCGCCTGCTGTGGATCTCTACCCGATCGCTTTGTGGCTTATTAAAATTTCTGACGGCGCTCGTCCTAACGCCTGGCGGCAACGTCGATTGCGTATGCATGCGCGTATTTGCTGTGTCGAGCTTTTTACCGGCTTCGTTTATTATCGACACACTTTTTCTCTCTCATTCTCTTTTTTTTCTCTTTTTCTCTTTCGAAAGAATTTCCTATTGGATAAAGTACAGGGTTTCGAATACTGCACTAGGGTAACTGTCCCTATTAATGTGCTTTTTAGCCAATTTGCTTATTATTGAATTAATTATTAAATATTGTAGCTTCAATTTTATCTGCTTGCAATCAATATCAGTTTTTCAACTACTTCTTTTTCTTATAATATTTCTTGAATCTAAAAAATGTTAATACTTTATAATGCTTTTGACAAAAATAGAAAACATGTTTTTGTCCCTATTAGTGAGTCCTCTAAGCGGCAATGGCCCTATTAATGTGCCCCCAATTTGTGTGCCTATCCACATTTGACTCATTTTAACATACAGTTACTAAAACAGGTAATAAATTTAAGTTAATTGTTTATGTTAATATTACATAAATCATTATTTCAATTATATTTATTTCAAAGTACACTCGTAACGTTCTCAGCTCCAATACAGGGCACATTAATAGAGATAAGCTTAAAATCTTGCAGTACGTAATTACTGGATTCACATAAATTCCTCATATCTTTCGAAAAATATTTAAAATATTACAATACTTAAAAAATAAAATATTATCTCTTCGATATTACATGTATTAATAATTTAACCTAATAAAAAAAATATTTTTTTTTATTTATTTGTGCTAGTTTTCTTTATGACTTATCGAAATCCAAAAGCACATTAATAGGGACAGACACAGTAATTGGGACAGTTACCCTAGTAATAATAGTGCAAATTTAGCATAATTCAGTGGAACATATAACATTATTCTTTATTGTCCATTTTATAACTTTAAATAATAGTAAAAACGTATATAACTATATAAACTTAAATGGCTTATTTTATAATAATATTCGCATTCATCTATTTAGTTTTAAAAAATTTCAATATTTTTTAACATCAAAATATTATTTTGCACAACTATTATTTCTTTAAAACTTTTAGAGTAAATCTCTCTCTGAAGAGTAAAATCTCTCACTTTTAAAAATTGAGCCACTCTTTTTCAAGATTGAGTCAATTTTTATTCTTTAAAGTAAGATTCCACTCCAAAGAGTTTAGAGAAATTATACGCGTCAAAATAAAAAATAAAATGATACGAAATTAATGATAATAACAACTCGAGAGGCGATCCTTCATTGAAAATTTACCAGCGACACCCGTGGTTCATTGTGTCTTTCATGATATGAAAGTAATTAGAATAATATAATATCAAACCTTAATATAATATCACATATTTTAAAGCACAAACACAATTTCACCTCAATTTCACTGATCTTTCATCGTCTCTAAAGACAGTGGAGGAAAAGTTGAACTCAGTGCAATTCTTTTTGCACTATCTCTGTCAATGGAACATTAAACACTGAAAATATATAAACTAGTTTTTATAATGGAACAATACAAGTGGATACCAGTGTTTATAACCAGTGGATACACTAGTTTTCTCAGAAAACGCTAGAAGACACCCGCATGGACGTGTACACATGAATAATTTAATCCATGATGAGTACAAGTTATTTTCTGCGTTTTTCATTGTACATAATGGCGGAATATAATTTTGGGGTAAATTTTGTATTAGTAATAAATTTCTAATAGTGGCTATATACTGACTTAAAATACTTTCTGATTAGTCATCAGGGAGCAAAACAGCTTGTATTCTTACATATCGTGGATTGCTCAACGTGTAATGTTGTACGAGCTCGATTGGGAACACTGGCCAAACCGCGGGGCTTTTCTACGGGCGAGACGATGTAAATACCAGGTATCTATAATTCCCGCGTCATTCACGCCCTGTAAGCTTTATGGGCCGCTTTATTATTGGAGAGCGGAGCTCTCGCCACTTGCGCGGTTATTGTTACGTTGGAAAAGCATGAAATGGGAGAATGTCCAAAAGGGGGTGAATGCGGAGTGCGTAAGGGTTTAATATCTCTCGTGCATATCGCAGAATTTACGATTGGATTTGACGTAAGCCCGGCGTGTAGCGTATAAGCAAGATTTACAGTTTACTTAATGACTCGCGGCCGTAGCCGCCACACGATCCCGGATCGGCATGCTCGCCGTTTTTGCGCGCGAACCCGCGCGCGTCTAACACGGTTCAGATGTTCCCACGCTAGGCAAGCAGGTGTTGTGGTGAAACCGACGATTAATTATCCGCATCCCATTTAATAGTAGTACGGACGGGTCGATTAATCACGGTACGGCGACTGTTATAACAGATAAAAAGTTTCCTCCCCCCAGAAATGCGATCCAAAACTCTTAAATTGATTTTTGATAGATTATTATACGCGCGCGACACGCGAGCCGATAATGTGTATTAACAGAGAATATTCAAAATAGAATCGAAATGCTCGTGCCATACATATAATCGATTTAGGATATCGCGGCTCGATTAACAAATTCATGTTTTATTCGTGTTTTATTCGTGTTTTATTCTCGCTGAATAAAACGGAAAAAAAACGACACTTTTTTTTTTTTTAATCAATCTCATATTTGCAATGGATATCGTTGATTTTACTACGTCGTTTATACGCTCGCGTGTCAATAATATTTTGCAAACAGAATCTCGCAACAATTCGAGCTCTGAAAAATTGTGTTACATTATTTTATAAACGTATTTCACGTAACATATGCGATCTACAATTTATGTGGCACAGGATATTAACCCTCGAGCATTGTATAGAGCGTTGTATAGATTTCTTGAGCGAGATCACAAATCATGCAGCGGCGATACGGTTTTACGACCGCGACAAATCATCCGTTATGAAACTGGATAAGTTTCCAAATACACAAAAGTTCCTTGGGCGATGGCGCGCATTATTAAACGTTGAGATATCCTCGCGAAGTGAAATATCCGACGGATCGCGGATGAGTTTGGACGTTCTGTGCGTAGGCATGTGGAAGTAATTACGATGTATTAACCGCCGTAATTCTCCTTTACAAACTCCGAGTCATTAAACAACCCCTCGAAAAGGAAAAGTAACTTCCCCCTCCGGAGGAACGTCAAAATTTAATACCGTCGGGAGACGTACGTGCTAACGCGTACTTAATACCTACGCGATATAAGCCGGCGTTATTAAACTCGGAGAATATTTCGGGGCGAACTTTCCATCGGTCAGAAAAACAACGCCCGATGGAACGAGCGAAGGGTGCATTTCATTACGAGCTCATTCGGAAACTCGGCACCTCGAATTCGTTGGGATTAGGGATATCTGCGGTATCGGATAATTAATTATAAAGCCAAAGCCCCACGGTGTAAGAAAGCGTCATTATTATTTACTAGCGGAGACGTGAGTGATTTAATTTGTTTAACGAGTCTCACAATCTACTATTACGTGATTGTTATCGACTTTAGCAGATGAACCTTTACTATATTTTGTTTTGTGAGAAGTTCCTCTTTCCGCCGCCTACGAACCAAAAGTGTTTGTGTCTCGCGAATATGCAAAATAAAGAGAAAATCACCATTTCCACGTAACAATATTAATAAGAATGCAGATGAGTTCGAAATTAGAATTTTCAAATATATAGTAAACTGTATTATTTAAACTTGAAAGAGTCTAGCGTACGAGAAACTTGTATTTTGAGCTCGATATATATATTAATAAAGACAGCAACTTTCAAGATTCGATATGTGATTTTATTGTTCTAAATACAACAGCTGAAGAAGAAGAAGAAGAAGAAGAAAGGAGAATTTAATAGAGAAACACAGCTTGGGTAAGAAAAAGCTAAGTGGCTTTCGAGAATAAGAGTGCATAATGGCCCTAAAAGTCACTCAGCTCCCGCCTGTCGTGCACATTTAATGAGAGCTTTATTTCATCGCACGTTTTTCGTAAATTTGTAAGCAAGGAAGGCGCTCGGCAGTCGGCTCCGTAAATCAACTTGCAGCGGGAGTCTATAAAAGAGCACCGTGTATATAAACACAGGGCGATTAAACGCGAGTGAATGAAGCCCTATTTTAAGGGCAACGCGCGCCAAAGAGAATGCATATTTAATCAGTCTACCGGACGCGATCTCGTGATACGGTGTGTGCCGGGGCGTACAACCGGTAAACAGCTGACCCGAGAAATCCCGTGAACCAAGAGCCTCGCTTCGGCAAGCATCGCGCTTCCAGCTGACTTATCGCACGGGGCACGCGTGGTGAGTGCTGGTGACTCACGGTCGTATACCGGCGTTCGTGTCGTGTATTTAGGGGTGGATTCGAGGTATAGAGAGTGGGTGGTACTTACACCGAGCGAGGCCAAGTGTCGGTGCGTCTCCTCGGACCTGTGCACATCGACCCGCGGATTTCCTCCACGCACTTCTCCACCACGCTGTACGGTCACTCCGCGATCCGCGGACACCGATAGGCCTGTCCAGTGATAGACATCCGCCGACGATCAGGCGGCACACGCCACACACGCGCCGTCAGCCGTCCTCGGACCCCAGACCGGGACTAACGAGACTCTCTGGAATCACCGGATCGCCACCGATCCACGTGACTGACGTGACTCGCCATCAAGACACCTGGGATCGGCGTGAGCGCCAGCGCGTTTCACCCGTATCCATCAATCGTGAATGATCACCGTCATCGAATCAGAGTTCCCGTCGCGCTTATTATAGTCGCGTGTTGCGTGGTGACGGAAAACCAACCGAGGAGAAAGAAAAGTTAAGGAGGCGCCTCGGCGGGTTGAAGTCGTTGAAGAGAACACGCGAGAGTAGGGAAAAGAGAAGACGCGGAGACTATAAGCGAGGCGGGGAGACGATAAATGAAGATGATGGAAAAACGAAGAGGTAGGGACGAAACCGGTGGGATAGAGGTTGAAGAAAGAGAGAAGAGAGGGAGGGTGGGACAGAGAGAAAGAGAGAGAGAAAGAGAGAGAGAGAGAGAAAGAGGAGAGAAAGGAGAGAGAAAAACGAAAGAACGTGGTCGCTCCCGGTGATTTCGAACTGCACTGCGAACGGGAACCACAGTCCTTACTGAGCCGGAGTTTGACTACGTACTCGCGGCTCCGAGACTTCGGGGTCTGCGCAGTCGGTCATTCTCACCACCACCACCATCGCCGCCGTTTCCACCACCATGTCACCGTCACCGTCGCCACCACCGCCGCCACCGCTCTAACCCCAAACCTCCACCACGGCTCTTTCCAACGCCAACCCTAACCTGCCAACCCTGCTCCACCCGGCAGCGCCCTAACTTGGCCGCAACGGAGAGCTCCTGAGTCACGCGTGAGTCGTGATTCTTATTCATATTCGCGCGAAATTGCGTCGGACCAGCCGGGTCTCCGAGGATTACTTCGCGGGGATTATTTCGCTAATGGTTGCCGGCGGGGGTGAGGCGCCGAGGGTTGAATAGGGTCGTGCGTTACCAGTATCGGCTTTAGCGTATAATAGGAATCGTAATTACCTCTCTCTCTAGGCTCTTTTTTCCCGTCTACCTCCCTTACGACGAGTACTTACTCGACCTGGAAATGTTTGCTGATACCGACGGCATAATATTCCGCAAATAAATGCTACTACGGCGACGGTAGCGTCGCCGTCGTCGTCGCCGTCGCCGTCGTTGGCGTCATCGTAAAGGCGTTAGCGAGAAACTCATAATCGTACTTTGCCGTATATTAATTAAAAATGGTTGGCTGTCCCACCCGGTTTGCGCGTCCGGTAATTACGTTGTGTTTAATTAATTAAGCGTACGTAGCGCGAGCGCGAAGGTTTACGCGCGATCGTCGCGGAATAATAATTAAAAATTACGTCGCGCATAGATTCGGTTTAGGCATTCGTTTTGCTTTCTTTCCTTCTTTCACCGCCAGCTGTAATTTTTAATCACCACGCCTGACGCTAAGCTGTTTTCGCGGCGTCCGCGGTGCGCACAGCTTTTAATCTAGCGAGCGCGATGCGATAATGATCGCATTAATTACGGTATGATAACACCGATAGGCATCCACGTTGCGTCTCGTAAAAATATAACGAAGCAAAACATTAGGGAGAAAAAACTGGTTTACAAACCGTATTGTACCGCTAAATATGTTGATATTTTCGGAGCTTTTATTAAATGATAATATTTCTCCCTTATCTCTATTTTCCCTCTGCGATTTTATATTTTCATTCCTGTATCGCTTGTGTTGCGACATAATATTATTACCGCGATGATGTTTCAACATTTTTTCTCCTGTAGAAAAGAAAGAGAGAGGGAGAGAAAGATAAAGTGTTTATTGATACTCCAGGACGGTCTTCTAAAAATATAAAACGTAGCTAATGATGATGAGCAAAATGTAAAAGAATTAAATAGAGAAAGATTAAATTTATTCCCCTATCGATTGAATAAATTTAAAAGAAAATTCGTATTTACCGCGGGGAGAAATCGAGTCTCGATTTTTTTTTATAAAAGAACTGTTCGAGACATACGTCTCTTCCCTCGTACGGACTCCGCAATTATCGCGTCGCGGGATGAACGACGTACACGGAACGAAACTATTGCCGCTAAAGAAAACGTCTGCATCAAGTTCTTGGCTAAAAAGTTCTCGTCGTAACAAAAAGAATCCTCGCCCGAAGTCACGCCGACTAAAGTTCGTTGCTCCGTACATGTTGTCCCCGCGCATTCTACGGCGTATTGGAACTCTGCCAATGTCATTCTCGCATAATTCCACGGGAGTATACAAGGCTCGAGAAAGAGATGGGACAAGTGTATAGACAATATATGTCCGCAACCGAAAAGGAAGTATTTCGAAAATATCCAAGTTGCCTTGATATTACGTATATTTAGTTTTATATCAAAATATTAACGTAACAATCGGCTGCATTATTGTAACTGAAAGTATACATAAGAAAAGAAAAATATGTATTCGTTTAAATAACAGCGAATAAGAATCCGTAAATGTTGTTTATTATTATTAAGCGCTTCTTGCATATTTTGAATAAACTGTTTATTAGTTTTTAATATGAATTGTATTTCCAATATATTAATGTACGCCTCCCATTGTGTCTATTTTACAATTGCGTGTGTAATCGTAGTTGTAAGAATCGATCAATCACAGTGTCGAATATGAGGAGAGTATTCGACTGTGAATGTGTGATCAATTCATACAATTAACCACTTACAATTACATATACGCAATTGTAAAATAGATTTCACGTGAAATGTGAGAAGCTTTACGAATTATTTGAGCGAGCCGAATAGCGTCTCATCGCCATCTATTGTCCATCTTTAAAACTAACAATTCTATAATAGCATCAGTCGATGAGGCAAATTATGAAAATATCTTAAAATATTTATTGTCGCGTTATGTTTTCAAACACGAAAAAAATGTTCTGAACAAGTCGAGTATGATAAATATCACATGGGAAGTATTTATAAAGTATTATTTTTTACGTATTTTTATGTGGTACGTATTTTAATGCTCTTGTTGATATTAATACGTTAAATTCACGGATTCACGCGTCTCTGCGAAGGGTAAAAAATAGCACATCCACGCAATATTCTAGCCACATAGCAAATATTTATTCTATGCAAATATTCAATAACGTAATAGAACGTAAATTGCATCTATTCATTTATTACGTGCGCAAATATTTGATAAAAAAATCAACGCACGAAGCATCCGTTTGACACGACATATGTATAAATCTCGTAATTGCCAAAGGTAGCAACGCATAAATTGATATTAAAGTAGATGCATAAGTAAAGATCACCCGCGAGACGGTTCTGAGCCTTGACACGTATAGTGTGAGTAAACATGATGAAATGCGAACCGAAACCACACACACGTGAAAAATGCGTCTGCACGATATTGTGTGTCATAAAATAGCATTATGTTTACAGCGATGTGTATGATACGTGTTTCTAAAACCCTTACTCGGAGGCGCAAGTGGTTTTAACGAACCTTCTCCTCCTCATTCCACAAGCACGAATACGAACAACTGCCTTTATCGAAATATTATAAATAATAGTTGCTCAACACAGAATATATAAATATTAATATTTTCGCTAGAAATTTAAAAACGCCTATTACAGTCGAAGCTAGATCTTCGTTGCTTAAATAATTCAATCTTAAATTACTAATATATACTATATATGTATTTGCATATATACCATATTAGCAGTCTTTTTCAAACTGCGCGCCGAATTATTTTTCCGGACTAAATAAACGCAATTAAAACTACTCTAGTAATATCGCGAATTAAATTGTCTCGGTGGTCTAATGGCTTAGGACAGAATACAAGAGATCCGGGTTCAAGTCCCGGCCGAGGTAATATTTTTCGCAATAAATTTATTAACAGTTTTAACATATTAACATCTTTATAATATATGATACTTGATGGTAGCATCAAATTATTAAATTGCTTGTCAATTTAATTCACGATTACTAGAGTAGTTTTAATTGCGTTTATTTAGCCCGGAAAAATAATTCGGCGTGCAGTTTGTGTGTGAAAAAGACTACAATATAGTATACATGCAAGTACATATGGTATAGTATATATTAGTAATTCAAGATTGAATTATTTAAGCAACAAAGATCTAGCTTCGACCGTAATAGGCGTTTTTAAATTTCTAGTATTGATTATGTTTCTCACATATACGGTCTAATATAAAGATATTGTTTAATATTTTCGTTTATTAGGCGTAATTATGTGTACCTAACAATAATTTTTTTTAGTTTTATACATTTCGCCTTCATATTTTTGAACCGCAAAAACAAAACGTCGAATTATTTGATCTTGAAATGATTTTATAAAGCTAGAAATGTAATATTATATGATAATCAATTTAATATTATTAATCAAGCAACTTATAAACCTACAAGGAATTTATATTATTATTTATATCGGATGCCATTGTCCGATGATGATATACCGTATACGTAGTAAATATTAAAAATATAATTTCTGCATAAACGTGCGTTATATTTCATCAGCCAAACATTTTCCTGATTGGTGGATAGATATTTTAATCATAACATCAGGGGATTGCGGGCAAAGAGTGGGGAAAGGTAATAGAGATTGTTCTTTATTTTCTGTCCACACGCGATAATTTTATTTACGCCGATAATTTTTGTTCCAGTGTATTTGCGCGATTTACCGACTTGGCGATGAAAAATTAAGTCCCATTAATCACCGAGAGGCGTACATTTTCAACCGGTTGGCGTTCCCGCGTCGGAATGCTCGACGTTACGTCCCATTAAATTTGAACCCCGCCACTCTGCTATCCCTGATTCTCTCGTTATACAGCGTTCGAAAAAAAAAGAAAGAAAAAAAAGGGATAAATCCGCGGCACGTTTCGCGGACCAGAGAGAGAGGAAGAGAGGGAGGGAGGGAAAGGGGGAATTAATCCCGAGACGATAATTCAACGGCGCGCTATCGGGAGAAGCTAACG